AGAGTGTCGCAGAAGAGTGTCCCACAAGAGTGTCCTACAAGAGTGTCATTTGGACATATGTAGCTTTTCGAACGTGTTTGCATTCGGGTTCGTGGGCTCCATCTTGTTTAATTTTTTCTCCTAGGAGCGTACAGCAAATATTGCTGACGGGTAAACGTTCTCATAAGTGCAGAAGTGGTACCAGGGGAAAAAAACAACGCAAATTGCGTTGCTTTGCATGTTCAGTTGCTTTTGTTTGGCATTTAAAAACACCAAAAAAAGAACGTAATTTGTTGGTTGGTCATAATGTACGGCTGCCATTGCTTAACATAACACTACTCTCAAATGGGTCACTGAGCTAGGAGTCACTAGTCCAAACACATGTTGACAGTTGACACATGAAATCAAAAACGACAGGAAGCATGGACTCAAGGCACATGAGTTGAAGTGGTCTGAAGCTATTGTTGATGTGCTTTTTCCCGAATGCGTAGCGAAGGGTTCCCGTTTATAGCTGGGGGTTGGAGCTGTGTTTGCATGGCTTGCGTCGTGTCGTCGTCTCTCGTCGTCTCTCATCGTTTGTCGTCGTCGTCGCGTCTCAAATTTGCTGCCATTGGAGGAAGCTTTTGCAAGTGACTTTTCATGGATGTGTCACGTGTCAGTTTGCGCCGCTATTCCATTGTGATTTGCATGACACCGACATGTCGCGCAAGAAACGTGATGCATTTCGCTGCACAGGCGCAGCGTTTTGTGAGATGCGCAGATTGCTGCGCAGTTCCATTGGGATTAGCGTTTGGAGAGTCGTGTTTTTGGGGTGTTGGATGTGGCCGTGCCATTGGCATTTGCGCTTCAGGGTGTGGCATCGAAGCTCGGTTTTCGTGACAAGTCTCAGCTGAAATTGCGATTTTGGTGGATGGGAGTGTGCTCTGAACGGGTCGAAATCATTCCAAACGTGTGGTGCGGTGCAAATTTTGTTGAAGCTCACATGCGATGATATTGTCACTTTTCGTGGCAGGCGCAGGACTTCGTGCGGGTTTTGAAGCGTGGAAGTGCGATTCTCGTGGCAGGCGCAGGGAATCGTGAGGTTGCGAGGTGTGAGGGAGGTGACATTTCGTGGCACTTAAATAATCTGTTTTTTTTATAACATGTTATCGATGTTAAATGATTTAATAACAAGTTATAACTGTATGTGAACTAGTTATAACAAGTTATAAGTAGGGTTTAAACAGTTATAACTTGTTAAGTTAAGTAGATGTTTTAGTAAAAAGAAGACTTGATGACCCAGAGGTTCTCCAAGTACCTCTGGGTGAAGCTACCATTGAGTGCTTGATGCAGGGGCAGAGGCCAACCAAATCAGATGTGGTGATGCCATTGGAAGAGAGCCAGCTGGTGCCAATGTTTGAGCTCTTGCAAGAGCACCAAGATACTTTGAAGACAAGGAAGCCTTACCAGAAGAAGGCATCAGTTCCCAAAGACTAGCTGCCATAGAGGTAGCAAATCACCAGAGGCAATGGCTAAAAAAAATGAATTGCAGTTACTGTCAGATGCTGTGTGCCAATTTGTGGCATTCCACCATTGCTTGGCAGCCTGATGGCATTGCATCATTATGAAACCAACTTTGAAGCCTTTGAATTTGGCTTCTTGTAACCCAGAATCACAAACAATAGCACCAGGTATCCATCACCATGCATTGGCTCCAGCAAAGTTGCATTGGCTCAACACGCTTGCTCACCGCCATGAGTGTGGTTGACCCAGGCTGTGTGAAAGCCATAAACAATCTATTGACATCCAAATTGCCAGTGAACCAAATGGTGGACCAGGTTGTCCACACTCTCAAGAAGCAAGGTTTGGCCTACCACTCTGTGGTCACACCAAGCCAAGTTTTGTGCCACCCCCACCAAATGCTTTCATGGTTGGACATGTGGGACAAAGGCCAGAAGATGATGGCCATTGGTATGAAAAGGCAATTCCTTCCTGGGAAAATCCATGGCCATAGAGATCTCACCAGACCCTGCCAAGAGGTCTGAGCAGCTGATGGCCAATGAGAACCTCATCAAGGAGGCCAATGGTGCCATGGCACCCATGACAGGTTCTGAGCGTTCTTTGGTTGCCATGACAGCTATAAGGTTTATGCTTTTTTGCAAGCCTTCAGGATCACAAAGAATTAGCTGGCATTCCATGCTTCCATTGCTTCCATTTGTTCATGTCCATGCTGAGGTTTCCTCAGCTTGTCCACCAGCCACACCACAGCTTTTCTGAGGGCCATCAACCATGGTTGCCTGCCAGATGAGCAGCCTCCCATGGAAGTGCGCAAAGATGATCCATGCTGGGACCTCATCCAGAATGGGTGGTCATGGCTCATTTTGAGCCATTTGGTGGAAGGCCAATGGCCCATGCTACCCACCCTGCTGCAAGGGGCCATGAACTCTGCCAACTCCAAGGCACCAAATGAATTAGAGCTTGCTGCCCAGCTTGGCCACCTGTTCAGCCTCAATGTACCACTTCATGAATCCAAGGAGAAAGTCCAAGCTGCCAATACTTGCCAGCCTGAAGTTTTGACCTACCTCAGTCATTTTGTGAAAACATTTTCAGGTGGGCCAAAATTTCCCATGTTGGATTTCCTACAAAAGTTCAGTGGCCTGGATGCAACCAAAGGCTTCACAAATACCATTTGTTTGCTCTATACCACCAACCATGAATGTTGGTGATGCTTTTTGAACCCAAAGTGATAACCAACGGTATTGGAGAAGAAGACGTGCAAGTTTCACTTACATTGTCCGCTTTTTTATAACAGGTTATGTTAATTATGAGAGTTAGCTAACATGGTCATAACATAGTTGCAACATAGCTGTAACATGGTGTTACATATATGATATTAACTTTTAGTAAAAGTTAATTAACTAAGATAGCAAGGCTAACACTAAGACTGCTAACGCTGCTAACAGTTAGCATTGTTAGCATTGCTGCCATGATGTTACTAACTCACAAAAATAGGATGAAAACATGTTTTGATAAATGAAAACTGACCACAAAAATTTTGCAGTGCACACTTGTTCATGCATATACAAAAGAATTAGACATCAACTTGTATGCAAACTGTAAACAACATATGTTGTCAAAATTAACACAACATATTGAACAGTATTGCTAATAAACACATTGTCACAGGTGTTTCTTGTATA